TCCTTAATCTGAGTCCTGCTGGGGCCTGAGTGCCCCCTCAGCTCAGTTTTGCAAGGGCAGGGAGTGTTTCTCCAGTGCCCTCTGACTTCCAGCCTGAGCCACTGCAGGCCTGTGCCTGAATTTCCTCAGTCCAGAAGGATTGTCTGTATGGTTGGAAACCAGTTCAGCCTAGCCAGGTTAGACCAACCTGCAAAGTTGAATCAATTCAGGCTCAGGCTTCTTGAATATCTGTCCCTTGCCCTGGTGAACAATAGGAATTCTCCTATTGTGCATAATTTAAAAACAAAAACAAACCCAAATCTTTTGTTCTTAGCTTTTACTGGAAGAGAGCTATCTCATTCATCATGCCAACTTGAAGTGTAATGCACAGTTAGACTGGAGCTAAGACCTTAATGAATTCAATTTAACGAGACTATGGGTGGCATATGTACCGTCAAGGATGATGTAAACTTTCAGTGCAAAATCTACCTGCATTGAGTGGCTATAGAAAAGGGAACAATCAGCAGCCTCTTCATAGGTGTGACCTGCAGGGACTTAGGTAAACAGGCTTGCCTCTCTCCTGTTCTCTCTCTTCTCACAACTGGGATTATACAGAATTGTACGTAGCACCATGCAGTGGGGCACTGGGCTGTGTCTGCTTCTTTAAGTGAGCAAACAGCCTGAGAAGCCACTTGTAGGTGGTGAAAGGGGGCTAATGAAAAACTCACCTGAAGGCTGAGTCTGGATCTATATAAGCCCAGAGCCTGAACTGGTCAGACAGTTTCTCCCCAGAAAACATGAAGGAAGGAGCTCCTTGCAGGAGAAGCTAATAGGACTTGGATTTGTGTAAATGACTCTGCAGGCCTGGGAACAGAAGCAGGTCACCTGGGCAGAGAAAAACTAGGTTTTACAGGTCAATAGCCTTTGTTTTATGTTAAACCCAGAGAGGGTTGGAGGTGTCTGCCAGAGGGCTGAGTTGCTTCTTTTTTATTTAAGTGGGATCAGTGGTTTAGCCTTGGGCCTGCTGTGGCAGGCTCAAGGCCTCCTTACAGAAGTGGTAATCCAGGAGCCCACAGACTGAGAGCAGGGCCCATTAAGAGGTCCAGGAGCCTAGGGAAAGCCTGAGACACAGACCAGAGGGTCCACATGCCCAGGGAAGGGCTGAGCCAGGTCAGCAGTTCCACAAGCCCAGAGGGGGCTAAGATAGACTAAAAGGTCCCCAAGCCTAGATAAGGTCTAAGAGCCAGATTAGGGAGTCTGAGAGGGTCTGCATGCAGGACTGAGGCTCCAGAAGCCCAGAAGAAGGGGCTGCGTGTGGGACCAGGGATCTGGGAGCCCCGGAGAAGGGAGAGTATATAAAAAGGCAACATCAATGAGAGAGAACACCCATGAGGCTTGGGGTATGGTACAGGAGAGGAATGAAGCCATGCAATCTGCCTTTAAGGCTACTGGTGCCTGGCAGAGATACAGACAGATCAAAAGGGCCTATAACTTTGGGGGCAGGACTGAGACTAAGGGGACCCAAGAGGGATCCAGTGGTAACTGGCACAGGCTCAGGCTCACTAAGAGCTCACGGGAAGCCTCCCTTACACAATCTTCAACAAGAATAATGTGTGGTGGGTGAGTGACCAAGGAAGGGCTACAGTCAAGTCTGAGCTAAGCAGGAGCTGCACAGCCACTGGGTGGTGTCAAAGCTGTTCCTGTGGCTATGAGTTTGCTACAGTTCAATGGTAATCGCATGTTTTTGAATCCATCTGTTGCTTTGTTCCCGGTGAAATCTATCTCAAGAACTAAAGATATAGAAGTTTGGTGAACTTGGCTGTTTTTCTTGAACCCAGTATTGGGTTTGCATATATATTATGTATTGTACCTACTGTAGAGGGAATTGGCACAATTCCCAGTAAAGGTTACAATGTAAAACCAACCTACAAGCAAACAAACTTTTCACTTCATTTCAGAATTGGGTAAACTGACTTTGAAATAAATGTTTGTCTTGTACTGATGATACTCCTTTCCTGCATAAATACTACCAAATACAACTGTTCAAGTTTTAATCCCTAGCAGGCACAGAAAAAATGTCAGCCTTCAGATAAATTCATAGTGATTTTGCTTGTAGATTTAAAAGCTGTCAACCAATAAGAATGAATTTATTTTTAGAGATTTATTAGTAATCTGTCCCATCCGTTGGTTGTCAGATTATCCTTTGGACTCATGCAGAATAATATCTCAATTTGCATTGTGACTTTTATTAAGGGGAAGGGTGACATGAGGGGAAAATCTCAAAGAAATTTCTATTTAACTTATTTTGGGATTTTTATTTAGCATTGTATTTGATTAAATAAACAATGTGTCGGAGATTATGTGTACTTAATAAAGTGGCAAGTCAGGACCAGACTCCATGAAAACACAGCAAAAAGAAAGCCGTATAGGATGTTCTGGGAGCCTAGGCAGAAGAGAGAGGGAACAAGGGCTTGTAGTAGAGCATGGCTATCTGTCATGCTTCTTTTTTCTGATTTTATGCAGATGAGGATGGGTTTATTATAAATGCAAAGGTCTTAGGCCCTAAGAAAGGGCTGACACAGTCTTCCCACCCTATGGAGCTCAAGACTGCATTAAGGCTGAACATCCCTTTCAGATGATGCATCTCATAGGGGCCCTGCTACCAGTAGCTGTTTCTGCATGCTCTCTCTCCCTCTTCTCTGAGAGAAGGCAGAACACAGGAAGTTTACTTAAGTCACAGCTCCATTATCAGCTGATGAATTGCTGTTAATCTGCAATCTACCTAAAACAGCTGCTTCCTGAATCAGACTAACACTTTTTCACATGCTTGTAGAGCTATGCATGGGAGCTTAAATGCTCTGCCAGGAGAAGGTTTAGAACTAGCACAAGAGGTGCTGGCACTTCCCATTTTTGAAACCAGAAAACAACAGAAAACACCCTCAAAATAGATACAGGAAAAGTACAA